AAAAAAAAAAAAAAAAAAAAAAGGACAGAATCTCACTAAAGTTGCCCTGGCTTGGCTTGATTTTGCAATCCACCTCGACCTCCCATAATATTGGGATTACAGGCATTCACGGCCGTACCCCAGCTAAAATTTTTATGAAGTCCAATTTATCTCTTTTTTTTTTTTACTGCTATTGTTTGGCTTTTGGTGCCATCGAAGAAATCATTGAAAAGTCCAGTGTCATGATGCTTTTGTTCTGTTTTCTTCTAAAATGTTTTATAGGTTTAGATCTTAATTTTGGTCTTTTATTTTGAATTAATTTTTGTTAGATAAGGGTCCAATTTTATTTGTTTGCATGTGGACATCTGGTTTTCAGCACTATTTGTCAAAAGGGCCGTCCCTCGGGGAGGATGTTTTTTGTTGTTGTTATTGCTTTTTTTTGGTTTTGCTTTTCTTCCAGTACCGGGAATCGAACTCATGACCTTGCACTTGCCAGGCAGGTGCTGTGCCACTGAGCTAAATCCCCAGCTCCTGTTTTGCTCTTTTGAGACAGTCGCACTATGTAGTTCAAGTTGTCTTTGAACTCACTATATAGCCCAGGCTGGCCTTGAACTCATGAGGATCCTCCTGCCTCAGCCTCCAGTGTGCTGGAATTACAGGCATGAGCCACCATGCCCAGTCTGGGAGGCTGCTTTTGAAAGATACGCGAGGTTAGAATACATGTATGCATGGATGGAAATGGTGCTATAGAGTGAGGCTAATTAACCAACGACGCAGGAAGAGAAGCAATGATTCAGGTGCCGAAGCTGGGAGAAAAAGTGGATTTGGAGAGCAGGACTCTCCACCCACTGGAGGGGAGAGCGGGGGAACGAGGGAGGTTTCTGGCATTGGTGCTGAGAACTGAAGAGTGTCCCTATGCCATTAACTGACATGCACAGTCATCAGAGAACACACAGAAAGGCTGTCCTGTGGGAGGTCAGGGATGACCTCTCTCCATTTGTCTCCAGCGCCAGCACCCACTCCCCAGCAGGACCCACTGCCACTGCCACCGCCATCGTCCCTCATCCCTTTGGAGGCCACTGACAGTATGCTGGAGCTGACGCATCCACTTCTACAGCAGACCGAGGACCAGTTCCTGTCTCCGACCTTGGCCTGCAACTCCCCTCTGATCAGCTTCTCCCCACCCCTGGACCAAGACGACTACCTGTGGGGCCTGGACGGCGGTGAGGGCGTCAGTGACCTCTTTGACTCCTATGACCTTGGGGACCTGTTGATCAATTGAGCAACGTTGCCTGCCCTCCGCAGTGCCACACCTGTCTCTACCTCCTCACAGACAGACTGACAGGCCCTCTGCCCGCATGGGGTCATTGGACACAGGGTGCCGGCCTCAGGCCATGACGGTCGTCTCCTTCCCAGCCTCCCTGCCCGCAGGTGTCTGGGAGATGTGGAGGACGTGGGTGAGGACGGTATCAGAGGCTGGGTCCTGTCCTTTCTCCTCTGACCTCTGACCTCTGACCTCTCACATGAAGGACCACAGGTGCAGGTGACCAGGTTCAGGGAAAGGCCCTGCCACCTTCTTTTGAGAGATATAATTAGGACCCTTGATTTCTCAAGAAGCACTTAATGCCTTTGTATTTATTTCAGGTTGCGTTTTGTTTGTTTGTCCTCCCTGAGTTTTAGCAGGGAGAGTGTTCTAGTTTCTAGCAAGACTTCTCAGTCAGGCCTAGGCCAACTCCCCAGTTTTCCCTCAGCGGTGGGGACTGGGTCTCTGAGGGGTTGTCCAGTTTGCTGGAATGCTAATTGCACTTAGGCCCTGTAATTCTAGTAAGTGCCAAGTCCTCAGATCTCTGCCTGCTCTCAGCCTGACATACCAAGCGGAGGCGTCAGCCCAGAGAAGGTTCTAGAAGCCATCCTGAGGCAGGCAGCATTGAGGCTTCTGAAGAAACAGGAACAGACAGTTAAGGAGTCACTCTTCCTATGTAATTCCTTCCCGCTCCCTCCCTGTAGAGTGTAAAAGCTCCAGGGAGTCAGCAGAAGAGCCCCTGAGGAAACAGACAGGAGTGCGGAGGGAACTGTCCTGGCTGCCACAGGCTCCTTGCCTTAGTTTTCCTCCCAGACCAAGGCAAGGCAGAGGCAGCTCCACTAGACAGAGGCGTGAAGTGAGAACAGGAAGCCTCAGGAAGGAGCCCCAGGAACTGCTAGTATCCTCTCCCAGAGGGTTTTTATTTGCCAGAGTTACTGAAGGGGATCTTTTTTCTTCTTTAAACTGGGGGTTGAACCCAGGGCCTTCACAGTGAGCTACATCCCAGTCCTTTTTCAATTTTGAGACAGGGTCCTGGTAAATTGCCCAGGCTGGCTTGGAACTTGCAGTCCTCCTGCCTCAGCCTCCCAGAGTGCTGGGATCACAGGCATGCATCACCATGCCTGGCTGATTCTTTAAGGTCCTCCTTTGTCTGCACCAGCTCTCACACAGACCTCCAAGGACAGAGGTGACCAGGGCTTGGTGGCATGTTTACTCATTCTGTCACTGGAATGCTGAAGGGGCGACAGGGAAGGGCCTTCACTGGGGACCAGGCCTTCACTGTGGACTGGGCCTCCGCTGATGAAGAGATGGGCTAGTGTTGCCTGCTCCTCAGGCCTGGGGGGCCCACGAAGATCTTTTGGCTCTACCCGGTTCCCCCAGAGGCTTGACCATCCCACACGTCCCTGTAGCCCAGCTGGGAACAGGGAGTTAGCGCTACTCCCCCACCCCACCAGGGGTGGCTAACTCAGGGCTGTACCTTCTGAAGAGGGGCACCCAAGGGTGAGGCTCGGAGGGGCCTTCCGCCCACCCTCAGGGAGCTAGGGCTCCTCGGGAGCTCGGCTGGGCAGCACTTTTTTTTCTTTAACTTTGTAGCATTAAGTTGATTTAAAATATGAAGTTGGCTGGCTGGATGTGAAGCTGGGAAGGTGGGCTTCCCCGGGGGTGGGGCCTGATGGGAGCTGATGGGGGGCAGTCTCGCCTTGCCTTTGGCTCACCTGCCTGGGGCCTCACGTGGGCCCCTCCCGGGAGGGCGAGCAGCTCACCACCGCCTTCACTATTCTTTTTTGTGCTTGACTCCAGCCCTAAACACCCCCAGGTCTCACTGGAAGCCGGCCTGGAAGTCCAGCGTGCTCTGGACCAAGGCACCACTTTGGCCCCTGGGGTGAAGGCGGCGGGGGGCGGGTGCTGGCGCAGTGTGCTTGGAGCTCGTGCGGCTAGAGGTGGCCTTGCTGTCCCGAGGCCCCCACAGTGCTGCCTTTTAGCTTTGTGCCACTTCTGAGGATGGAGATGCCTGACCTCCATGCCTTGGGCTCTGGCTGGAGCTTTCTCCCAGAATTAAGTTGGAGAGAAGAAAACAGGCCCTCAGGACCCATCTGGAATGAGTTAACGCTAAGTCTGCCTGGAATTCGAGCTCATTCCCCAGGGCCCAGCCAGAGGGCTGGACAGAGGGCCTTCTCCAGCAGCTGCCTCTGCTGTCCTGGCCTGTCCCCTTTGCACCCTGCCTGGCCGGGGGCTGAACCTCCCAGCCTAAGCCCCAGGCTCAGTGTGGGAAAGAACCTTGTGCCTCTTTCTTGCCAGTTAACACTTGAACCTCCTCCACCTTTTTTTTCCTTTTAATGGTACTGGAGGTTGAATTCAGGGTTTTCACACTGAGCTAGTTCCCAAGGCTTTTTAATTGTGAGACAGGGTCTCACTAAATTGCCTAATCAGGACTTGAACTTGGCATACTCCTGCCTCAGTTTCCCGGAGCGCTGGACTTATAGACCCGCACTCCTGAGGCCGGCAGAAACCTCCCCCTATCGGTAGCATGCTTTAAGAACACCATGCTGCGTGGTCCTTTAGGGGCCACACAAATTTTAAACCTAAAACATGAGAAAAACCCATTTCTTTCCAGGGTAGATACTTTTGGCCAAGAAATTCCTCAGTCCCACCAGAGGGAGTCACTCACCTCTCCAGAGACATCAAAGGCTCGGGGACTCCAGGGAACTGGGTAGCATGAAATTGTGTTTTTTGTTGTTTTTGAGACAGGGTCTTGCTGTGCAGTTCAGGCTGGCCTTGAGCTCACTTTGTAGCCCAGGCTGGTCTCGAACTCCCAACGATCGTCCTGCCTCAGCCTCCCAGGTGCTGGGATTACAGGCATGCGCCACCACGGCTGGCTATGAAATTGTTAATGCAGTTGGAAATTCAGAGATTTCTTAACACCATAGAAAGTGTCAGGCATCCTTCCTCCATCTACCACGGTGGCTAGCGTGGCTGCAGGGAGAGGGAAGCTTGCTTTAGAGTGGTTTGGCTTTGTTTCCCCTCCCCCACGTTCTCAGCCTCCATCCTGCAGTGTCTGGCGTTGCCATGGGTTTGGGTGCTCTGGCCTCTGAGTGTCGTGCGGCTTAGCGGGTTTGAAGTGAAAGTCTCTGTGCTGTTTGCAAACAGCTTTCTGGTTCTTGCAGTTGCATCCTGAGGTCCCATCTCACCCCGGGACCCTGTGGCCACTCAGTGACCATGAAGGCCACGAGCCTGGGTGCGAAGGAAGGAGCCTTGCAGGTGTCCTTTGTCTTGAGGGCCAGTCAGAGCCATGGGAACCTAGCTCCTGTGCTGGGACTCTAGGGGTCACTGCCTCCGGGCCCTGCTGAGCAGTAGCTGAAGGCACCTCGTGTGTGATCGTGGCATTAAACGATGGCAGCTGTTCACGTCTTGTCTGTGTTGTATTTTCTGAATCAACCTCGTTACCAGCTGTGAGTCTGCTCCTCCGGGGCAGAAATGGGGGCCCATTGGCCAGGAGCACATTCTCCTGCCGGTTTTTCCCTGAAACAGCCTTCCTGTCCTGCCGTGGCTCATCACCGTGACTGGGAGGACACCTCACTGGGAGGACACAGCGGTATCCGGAGCCAAAACGTGACCCACTCTGTCTCTGGGGCATTTCATTCGCCACACTGGCTCCACACTGGGGCATTTCACTCGCCACACTGGCTCCACACTCTCCTCCGTCTCATCCTGTGCACCAGGGATTCTCAAAGTGGAGGTCCCGGACCAGCAGCCTTGCATCCCCTTTGAGCGGGTGAGCAGTGCGGATCAGAGGCTGCTCACAGGCCCAGGGAGTGAGGAGCTCAGGGTTGGGACACAGAAGTCTGGGTCCTAATGAACCTTCAGATGACTGACCTGGTGTAATTCAAAAGCTTGTACCTCCCACTACCCCAGAAGCCTCCCCGTCTCCTTGCCCTCCCTCCTCTCCCTCCATTATTTTGCAGGTACTAGGAATTGAACCCAAGGCTTTCACACTGAGCTACATCTCAGCCCTTTTTATTATTTTATTTTTGAGTCAAAAACTTGCCAAGTTGCTCCCAGGCCAAGCCAGAGCCCAGAGACCTTTCTAAAATGTAGGTCTTAGCCTAAGTGTGAGAGTGCACCCCTGTAATCCTGGCACTCTGGGAGGCTGAAACAGGAGGATCGAAAGTTTGAGCCCAGCCTGGGCAATTTAGCAACTAGTGAAATCCTGTTTGAATGAATGAATGAATGAATGAATGGCTTGGCATGAAACTTAGTTGCAAGACCCTCTGTTCAGTCCTGGAGGGAAAAATGTTCTCACCATGTTCTTTTACTCAGTGTCCATCTATGGCTCCTGTCTGCCCTTTGCTTGGCCACTTACAACCTTATTCCTAGGTCGCCACTTCCTGCCACCCATAATCACACTGCTCCTGAAAACATGTTTTCCCTCACTCCACCCAGGAGGCCCTGCACCCCATTTCTGCTGAGGCAGGTGCCCACTCGCTCTTCAGAGCTCAGCTCGAGAGCCTTTCCGTGAGGTTCGCTCAGCACTGACCTGTCGGTGTTAGCAGTTTGCATGTGGATATGGTGATCCATGGGTATCACACGCTTGTTACCCACAAGGCACTGGGGAGATGGGGGTGAGTAAGATGCAGCCACATGATTGCTAATGCTGTGGCAGCTGCAGTAACATCACAGAAGAGGGAGGATATGCGGGAAGGCTTCTTAGAGGAAGAGATCGAGCAATATTAAAGGAGACACAGGAATAGCCTGATGCTGGGACACGTAGGTGAAAGGAAACCCCCATTCCAGGTAGAGCAATTGATGGTTCTGGCCTCCCAGCAAACAAGGGCAGGTGTCCTAGGAACACTGGTCCCTGCCCCTAAGGAAGGACACAGGCAGCTAAAAGCCAGAAAGAAAGGCCCCAAAGCTTACCTCTGCCAATCTGTGCTCTTACCCAGGAAAGGGCTGAATCTAAAAGACTGATGGACCCTGAGAACGGCGGGGTGGGGGAGCAGGCCTGGGGGTCCTGTTGGCCACGGGACACTGACTGACTAATGAGAAAGTTCTGGAACTCGACAGCAGGAAGTCAGTTTACCTACGAGGTACAAAGCCAGTCTGGTTACGTAAGGGAAGTAAGACCTGAGGGCCGGGACGTTAACAGGGGGCAAGGACAGTTGATGAAGTGTTTATGCTTTCTCTGGGCCCAGCAAAGTCCTTTATACATTATAATCCATTTAATGCCCACGACCACTGGGTATTCCCACTAATCAGTTAGTATTCCCACTTTGTAGATGAAGAAAGAAAGTTTTAAGTTCCCAGGGAACCCCACACATTGATAGTGGGAATGTAAGAT